CAGAGATTCTTAAAAATTGACCACAAAATTGAATTTTAGGCAGTTCATGGATTTTTTTGTGAGCCAGGACTGTCATTTATTAAGGATTCCCTTATATTTTTATGTGAATATTTTATGGTGTTTTAGGTGAAAGTTTACACAGCAAGTTAGATGCCCATTCAACAATATGTACACAGATTGTTCCATGACATTGGTTACCATTCCTGCAGTGTGTCAGCTCTCTTACCATTTCCACCTCACCTACCTCTTTTCCACCTATCCAGTTTCCCTGACCCTCCTTGCCTTCTCATCTTTGCTTTTGGGTAACTGTTGACTGTTTTGTCTTGTATAGTTGATTGTTTAAAGAAACACATTATTCATGGGTGTTATTGTTTATTTTTTTAGGCCAATCTATTATTTGCCTGAAAGGTTACCTCCAGGAATGGCTTCAGTTCCAGGTTAAGAGGGTACCTTAGTAGGGGTTCCTCCAGTCTTTATAAGTCCAGTAATTCTGGTCTTTTTTATAAAATTGAGTTTTGTTACATACTTTTCTACCATTCTAACTGGGACCTTCTATTGTTTCCCTGGTCAGAAAGCTTGGTGGTGGTAGCTGGGCACCGTCTAGTTCATCTGATCTCAGGCTAGAAGAGGCTGTGGTTTGAGTGGGCTGTTAGCCCATGGATTTTTGACGCTTGAATTAAACAATGGCTTATAGTAAGTGCAGTGCAATTAATTGATTTTGTGTGGCCTTTCTCACCATGGTCTTGTAATTCTCACCCAAGTGATTGGGTGGGACTGTGCAAATAAGGTAATTGTAGCCCACCAAGGGGATTGGTCAGTTTTGCCATCCCACTATGCTTAAAAGAGAACCAATTCCAGAGGAAAAAGAGGATCCCACCATGACCAAGGAAGAACAGCCAAGAGCGTAGCATATCCTTTGGACTTGGGATCTCTGCACTGAGAAGCTCCTGAAACCAAGAGACAGAGAGAGAGAGAGAGCTGTAACACAGAAGACAGCGAGAAGCAGTGGCAGAAAAACAGCAGCAGGAGAAACTGGAAGGAGACAGTGCAGTGGGCTTCCCGGCCCAAGAGCAAGAAAGCCGAGTGTCTTTGGGCAGGAGGCTTGCTGGCAGAGTAGGATGTTTCTGGGCACTTGCTGGAGTTACATTTACCAACCCACAGAGCTAGAGCTGAGTGTCTTCAGGCTGAGGCTTACAGGTGGACTGGGGTGCTTCAGGGCACTGATCAGCAGAGCTAAACGAGCTTTGTAGCACTTGCCTGAGCAGGGCAGAGGCTGAGTGACCAGGAAGAGATGTGCCTGCGAGCACAGTTGAAAAGAGATTGTCCTAATGGAAGAACTGTCTCCTGAGCTTTCCTGAGCCTGAATTGCAATATGTTATTTCCCTAATAAACCCCATAAACATGAGTATTGTCTGTGAGTTCTGTGTGGCCAGTGCAACAAATCACCAAACCCAGCAGAGAAGTAGAGAGTGCCGTGGGAAGGACAGTTGGTGTCAGAATTGGTAAAGATGGCTGAGAGAGGAGGTATGTCTGACTTCATGGGAATCAGCCTCAGGGGAATCACCCTTGCGTTGTTGATCTTGATTCTCCTTCTTCCTTGTGAAGTTAGAGGAGGTCAGATGCCATTTTTACAGTAATAAAATGGAATACCTGAATTTCCTTGGCAGGAAGGGGTCAAAAAGTGGACTTACTAGAATAGATTCATTACGTAATGCTAGAAAAACCACCAGCTGACTAAATTCTCTGGAAGGGCCTAAACCAAAACCAAAAACCAAACCCCTTCTGTCAAGTCGATTCTGACTCATAACAACCCTATAGGACAGAGTAGAACTGCCCCATAGGGTTTCCAAGGAGTGGCTGGTGGATTTGAACTGCTGGCGTTTTGGTTAGCAGCTGTAGCTCTTGACCACTGCGCTAAACCAGGGCTCCTGGAAGGGCCTAGAGGTCACTTATTTCAGTAAAGCATTAAGATATGAGCTGGTAGGGGACACCCCAGCATCTCTGAAAAGCTTTGCATTAACAGTCCGTTGTCAGCCAGGATGGAAGGCAGGGGAGGCTGCGTGGAAGTGGGTTGCCTATTGCCAGCAGGGTTGATAGGTTCCCAGAGTATCAGATGCCAGGTGGCAGCCATGAAACATCAGGAGCCAGATGTGATTAATCCAGACGATGGGGAGATTAGTTTGGATTATCTAGGTGGGCCTAATGTGATCATGAGTCCTTCTCATGATCCTTCAAAGGGGAGAACTTTTCCTGGCTGCAGTGGTTAGAGCGGTGACAGAGAAAAAGGAGCAGATTCCAAGCTTGAGAAGGACTCAACTGATCCATTTTCCCTAGGGAAAGAAACTTCAAGTCATGTCCCAGTTTAAAGGGTGGAAGACTAATTATTATTATTATTTAGCAAGGATGTGGTCCCAGGTAAAGTCTAGCTTTGGCCTGATTCAAAGCTCTGGAGAGTATACTGTACCAGAGTCATCCAACCTTGAGGCAGAGGGGCCAGGCTCTCTATCCTTGTATTAGTTAGTCATCCACTGCCCCAGAGCTGGCATATCTGGCTAAGGTGATTCCTACCATCCAAGGGCAATTCTCTGGAGAAGTTTGCAGGTGGTCACTGCTAGCCGCAGTACTTGCAGGAGCTGAGAGATGGGTAGGCAAAGCCAGGAAGGGAATTTGGATGAGGTGCCAAGAGTGTCTACTACAATAATTCATTGGCATACATGCTTAATGCCACTGGGCAAAAGTGATGAGTCATGCTGATAGGTGATGATTTCGGCATTTGCTACTTCTTCAAGTTTTAACAAAGATGATAATAGTTTCCCCACAGCCCAACCAGAAGTCTACTAACATAAACTCCCATGACAGGGGAGGGACGATTTGAGTTTTATATCTTAATTCAGTGTGTTACAGGACTTAGAGTGGTTCTCAGTCTATACCATCCATAGCTCTTGTATAGGTGACTATGTGGCTGGTAGAAGGGCAGTGCTGGCAGTGCTTCTATGTTTTACTGACCCTTTGAGTATACTTTCACCTCTCTTGTGCCAATTACTCTTCTGCTAACATTGGTAAAGCAACATCTTCCCTCCCATCCACCTCCCATGACCCAGGCTTGGCAGATGAAGGTGTGAAAGAAGTAGGGCATCATAAAGGGATACCCAAGAGAAAATTCCTTCCCTTCCCTGGGCCTTCCTCTAGAGTTGCTTAACTTTTACTCTCCTTTGCATTTTTCCTTTAGGGAAGGAATAACCATCTTAACTCTAAAGAGCTCTGTATGAGTTGAATAGTGTCCTCCAAAAATTCATGTCAACCCTGAGCCTCAGAATGTTACCTTATTTGGAAATAGTGCCTTTGCAGTGTAATTAGTCAAGAATCTCAAGACAAAATGCTTTTGAATTTAAGGCTTGCCCTAAATCCAATGACTGGTGTATTTATAAGAAAAGGAGAGAGAGATTTGAACACAGATACACAAAGCAGAAGGCCATGTGAAGACAGAGGCAGAGATCAGAGTGATGCACAAACAAGGCAAGGAATGCTGAGGAATGCCAAGAGCCACCAAAAGCTGAAAGAAGCAAGGGAGGATTCTTCCTTAGAGCCTTCAGAGGGAGCATAACCCTGCTGACACCTTGGTTTTGCACTTCCAGCCTCTATAACTGTGAGGGGATAAAAATCTGTTATTTTAAGCCACCAGGTTAGTGGAAATTTGTTTCAACAGCCGTGGGAAACTAAGACAAACTCCAAGTCCTTCCTATCCTTTCAAACCCCACTCCTGAAGGGTGATTTCCTGAGCCCCTGGCCTCCTTATTCCTTACTCTAAGCTCTAAGACTTAACCTGGTGGTCTATTATCCCTTAGGATCTTGCCCTGCCTTCCTCATGCTGTATCGCATTCCTGAGTCTTTCCTTGGACTACAAACTTGGCAGGCATGAGTAGATGACTCATCTATCTATGTGAGAACATCAGCAATCTGGCCCAGGGAGAGACACAAGCCTGAATACATAGTAGGCCCTCTGTAACATCTTCATCCAGAGGGACAGACATTTTTTAAATGATCTTCAGTGCACTAATCACACTAATTTCACTAACGTGTGGAGATTTAGACATCATTTCAGAAGATAATACGGGCAGGAAAGCCTGCCTTGCTTTACCCAAATTCTCAAAATGTGAGTAATATTACCCAGGAAAAACTACCAGGCAGACAGAACTGACCTTGCAGAAATAAGAGGAGGCTAGGGATGGCAGAAGGAGGAGTAGTCTTGAAGTTCTGAGAACCCACCTTGATGTCAGGAAAACTTCCTCTAATGACAGGAGATGCCAGCTTCTTTTCAGAAGGCTGGCTATTTGTTCCATTGGACAGAGTGATGTGGAGGCCAGGGCCTTGGGTTTTGGTTGAGGACTCTGGCATTGAATGAGAAGACTGGTAAGAGATTGCTGCGTTCACCAAATCCTATTTTCTGTTCTTCTTGAGCATACAGCTACACTACTTTTCCTAGCCTCCTTTGCAAATAGGAGAGACCAAATGACTGCCATTACCGCCAGTAGAATGAGGATAGAAAGGAACTCCATTTCTAGGTCTGGCCCCTCAAAACCCTCTGTAACAGCCTCCATGCTACATTCCCTGGTCATTTTCTGGTTGATTGCAGAAGGTCCAGCAAAGGAGTCTGAGGTTCTGGGAGGCGGCAGAACTGCAGATGGAAGGAGCCAGGGCCCTTGAATCAAGGCACGGATGGCTGCCCACTGAGCACTTTCACTGGAATCTATTGTGAATGAGAATAAGCTCTTATGGGGTTAACCTGTGAGATTTCTTATTAATTTCTCTATCTTTGCTGCTACTGGGAGCCATTCCAGCTCATACATAAGTGCGATGGGAAGGCAGAGCTGGGTGCCTGTGCACATCATGGGATGAATGCAACTGTTGGGACTCTTGGGGATTGTAATGAGGGAAATGAAGCCACAGGGACTGAGTGAAGAAAATGCAGAGCCCTTAGGTTGGTGTATCAGTTTATTTGGCAAATATGTGAGCCTTCTCAGGGTTGAGAAGTCAAGGAGAGAGCAGAGAGGCCCTAAGCCAGAGCAAGTGGGTATGCTAGCAAGGAACTAGGCAGCACTCTTCCTGGGCCAGAGAGTCGTCCTCCAGCCAACACTGGTGGTGAGTCATACCTTAACTCTAGCGAATTGTCTGGAAGAGGAAGATTAGGTGATTAAAAGTCAGGGACCCTGGGGGATATACATTTCCAAACTTAATAACGCCTTGGGCCCCAGATAATAAGGACAGAAATTCTTTTTATAATATCAGCAGTTACCCACTTAGGAGGAGTTTCTCCTAAGAAGTTTGTCAACTTAGCAGACAGGTGGAGACTGAGTACCCTTTGACCTGGCTGAGACAAGGGGGCCGATGGAGAGGCCCAACTCAGAAAGCAGTAACTTGGGCCTTGGCCCAAGGAAGGATGAACAAACTAATGGGTGATGTAATGAGGGACTGAAAGGAAACAGAATGGGAGTGAAAAAAGGTAGAAGCCCCTTGAGGGGGTCTCTTGGTTTATTTTGAGTGAGTGGCAGTGTTGATTTGGAAATAGTAGGGCATTGCCTCCTGTTGTCTGTTTCTTTGATCAGGATTTGGGTGAGTGAAGTCTTTTGTTCAGGATCACAGCTTCTACATAATGAGCGAGGAGCAGTGAGGTAGCATGCCCAGGCCACTTGCCCTCACCCTCACCTCAATCAACTTACCCATCTTTCAAGCAAATATTTCCACAGTAGGTCCGGCAACACCGAGCTTCTTTTGATCTACAGCGATGGTCTGGGGTGCAATTTTTGTTACAGTATTTTGGTGACTTAGGAAGATACTCGCACGGCTCAACTACTGTTTCATCAACTGAAATTGAGATGGTAGATGTTGGTATGATCTAACTACCCACAACTTATAGAAAAAACCCTTCTCAAACTCAACAACATTTTCTGAAACCTGAGCTGCAAGCCCCAAGCAAGGTATTTCTCTACCTTTCAAGAAAACCCCTTCCTGTACCCCCTCAAATTCCAGCCAGTATCTCTCCATAGAAGACCATTCTCATAGGACTTGCTTTTCTTCCTTCCACATATCCTCACAGCATTGCAGGCCTCTAGGCCCTCTCTCAGCTCTCACAAGATAGGACCTGGGACATCCTCGACATATATGACCTCACTCACCAAATCTACTCTCATATAACTTTAGCCTTCAGGGCCTGCAATATTCTCTAGCTCCCATCTCCACATTCAATTTGTAGAATGTGAAACTGAGTCAAAGGAGCATAGGAACCTACTTTTCTCCTTTTCTCTTTGACTCTCTGATGATACCACCTGAGGAATCAGCCTCTCCCCAAGTTTCGTGGCCTTCACTAGCCCCCAACCTTGTCAGTCCCTTCATTGTCCCCATTTTCTTATGACCTCAATAATTGATCCACTAAGGGCCCCCTCATTTGTCTTTTCCATTTTTTAGTGTTTTTAAAGATTCTTCTCCTCAAACTAAATGAACGTGTTCAATACTACCATTTTGGTATTCATGAAAGGCACACCTAGCTAAGGCACAAGATTCTGGAAATATGAGCTGGGAAGGAAGCTCTGTAATGGTGTTTCTCTACCCAAACTATTTCCCACTGACTATGGAGTATAAGTAAAAGCTATGCTCTCTTTCCGTATATCCATTACTGCTTTCAGAGCTGGAAGAAGGCGCTTGGATGGACCCCAGATTGGGAACATTCAACCTAATCTTGCTTAGATGTCTTCAGTTAAGAAGGACTCTAAAGGGTGATCCCAGAAATGTGGGCCCTGAATCAGCTATGTCAGATATCCCAAAACAGCAACCCCCTCCCTTGCCACATCACTTACTAGAAGTTTTTTCCCAGAGGCTTCCCTGCACAGGCAAAATCATCACAACCACATAGGCAAGCATTATGAGTAGGAGAACCTGGAGCTTCATGGTACTCTCTTTGTGTGTCTCTGTGTTAAGTTCTGGCAGAAGATGGACCTTTTCCCAATGCTGCTAGAGGTAGAGAATGGGAGAATAGAAAGAGAGCAGAAAAGAGAGAATGCTGTCTTATTCCTTCTTTTACTTCAGCTTTTCATCCTCTGGCACCCAACAAGGTATCAACTCCCCAGCTGGGCATTGGCTCCCCCAAGGCTTCTTCCCTATCTCACATCAAATATTCCTTCTTTTACAAAAATATTTCTTTCAAAACTGTATTGTTTTTTCTGGTGATTAAAAACAATAAATCTTTCAGTTTATACAATTTGTAAAACACAAAAAGTAGAAAATGGAAAATATGGATAAGCATTAGTAATTCCACCACCCAGAGATAACTAGTATATCTGAGTACATGTATGTTGTATACATTGTTTTTATAGAATTGGAATCATATGTAAGAAGATGATAGAATGGAAATTTCAGTCAAGATCCTAAGACAAAGGGTATTGGAGTGATTCCAGAGTGAGTTAGGAGATAGATCACTCAGCAGAACTTGAAAAAAAAAATGATGGCCAAGAACTGGTTAGGTAACCACTAAATTACTTCAGTAAAAGAAACATATAATAACCTTACAATAATTAAAGCAGTGTAGTATTGGCATAAAGATATACAAATAGATCAGTGGAACAGATTAGAGAGTCCAGATGTAAATGCCCACATATAAGGACAATTGGTTTTTGACAAAGGTTCAAAAGCAAAACAACAGAGAGAGAATAGTTTTCTCAACAAGTGGTGCTGAAACAATTTGACATCCGTATGCAATAAACATGGAACTGGTGCTTTGACCACCCTCTCACCACCTCTTCTGGTCCTTTTCCTTCCCCTCTATCCACCTTTCACCATGCCTGCTTCTAGACCTCGCATCAGCTTTCAATCCATTCCATCAGGAATTCCTTATGCTTTTTTTCTTTATGATTACAAAAGCAATTTATATTTCTTTGTAGAGAAGTTGTAATGCACTGTAAAGCAGAAAGAAGGAAACAAATATGACCAATAATTTAATGACTCCAACATAGCCACCGTTATCATTTTGGTATATATCCTCCATGTAAATATATTTGCATGGGGTGTGTGTGTGTGTGTGTGTGTGTGTGTGTGTGTGTAACCTACATACAACGAGGCATCCCCTGTGTCGTGCTGAGCAATTAACACTTCTTATGAGGCCTATGGGGCCCTGGTGGCACAGTGGTTAAGCATTTGGCTGCTAACCAAAAGGTCGGCAGTTCGAATCTACCAGACGCTCCTTGGAAACCATGTTAGATAGCTTTACTCTGTCCTATAAGGTCGCTATGAGTCGGAATAGGCTCAATGGCAACAGGTTTGGTTTTGGTTTTATGGGACCTGTATTTTATATCACTGCAGTCACAAAGAAACACATATCTAACTCCATAGATACTGAGACTTTTACTGAGGGTAAAATGGAAAAATGAAGGAGGGGGATATATCACATAACATCATTTTCTAAAAACCATCTGTTTACCTCTCCCAAATACTCAAACCCCTGTGGCTGCTACACCTCTCTCTCTTCTTTCTCACCAAGCCTCTCTCCTTACTGGCCCTCCAGCCAAGTAAATTCGCCCCACCACCTCAACCCCTGAATTTGGCATTTGTAAATACCCTCAGCTTATATATTCTACTCAGCTTAACAAAAGCCCTTATATTGAGCCAAATACAGACAGACCTCTATACCTGTTTCTCCACTAACGTATTCCTAGTTCATGGTGTTTCACACGTTCCTTGAGAAATGCTTTGTGTTCTTCAGGAAAGAGGAGTAGGCAATATGTTGCACCGGAGACTTTTGTAACTGACGGACAAGATCCTCCTTCTTTCACCTTATTTCCACCTTCATTCTCACTAATCAGGTTGTGTGGGTGTGACTGAAATCTAAAGCCTCCTGAGAGAGTGTGGCTGGCTCGTTGTGATTTGCCTGCTCAAGTGGGTAGTAAATCAAAGGCCACAAAATATGTACCTGCCTTGTCTAGGGAGCCAACATATTGAAAAATAATGTAACCAATATTGTATAATGAAGGTAATATGATCAAAGTTATCTAAAATTCTATTAATAGGATCAGCTCAACGCATTTTACAGTTTATTCTTCCTTACTGTGCACTGACAAGCCTCACTAGGCAGTTTTTGTAGCTATAAGGATGGCACTGACACTCAAGAACCACAGCAGGATGAACAGACATGAAGGACTGGCCAGCAACAGAGGGCAATGAGTACTTTGTCAAAGCCCCGGCTCTCTCAGAAGAAATGAGATGCTGGTTTTCCCTGCAAGGTCTCATCTAGGAGTGATTTCATGTAGAAGAACCTTCTGTACTCTCCTCTGTTGTCAGCATTTTTATGTTTGCCAGGGGATCAGAAGAAGGGATTGGTCTACTGGATTGTAGGCTAATAAAACAACTTCGTTGCAACATCTGTGTGTAGCTTTTAAGAACATCTGCTCCAATCCAGAGAAGATCCAATAAAGTTTCCTTTAATTGAGGTTAAACTTCCCATAACATAAAGTTCACAATTTTAACCATTTTAAGGTGTACGATTCGGTGGCATTTAGTACACTGACAGCGTTGGGCACCGTCACCACTATCTGCTTCCAGAACATTTTCATCCCCCCAGAAGAAAGCCCTGAACTCATTAAGCAGTCACAGTCCCTCAGCCCCCATCCCATGGCAACCACTAATCTGCATTCTGTCTCTATGGATTTGGATTCTTATATATTTCTTATAAGTGGAATCATACAATATGTGGCCTTTTTTGTCTGGCTTCCTTCCTGAAACATAATGTTTTCAAGGTTCACCCATTTGGTTACATGTATCAGTACTTTGTTCCTTTTTATGACTGGATAATATTCCATTGTATGGATACACCATTTTTTGCTTATTCATTCATCAGTTGATATACATTGAATTATTTCTACATTATGGCTATTGTGAATAGTGCTTCTATGAACATTCATGTACAAGTTTTTGTTTGAACATCTGGTTTCAATTTTGGTTATATACCTAGGAGTAGAATTGCTGGGTCTTATGTATACTCTATGTTTAGCTTTTTGAGGAAGTACCAAACTGTTCCCCACCATGGTTGCCCCATTTCACATTCCAACCTGCATCATAGATAAAAAAAAAAAAAAAGATAGGATGGCATTGAAGAACCCAACCAGTTTACTCCTTGAGTAAACCTGAACGCTGCAGTGCTATGGGGGCACAGTAGAAAGCCAGAAAGTCCACAAAAGAAATTCTTGTAAATAATCAAACTAGAACATGTTGCACCATATTCCACATAACTCTAGTTCAGGAGGGTGTATAGTTCTTTCAGCATGCTTTGGTGCCTCTCTGGCTCAAAGCATCCCAGGTGAAGCCCTGGGGCAGGATACAGGGCTGATAGCAGCTGCTGTCTTTGTCAGGCTGCACAGGACTTTGAGTATTCACCCCTTCTCCACATTTGGGTTCTGGCTGGCTACCCCAGAACTGGTAGCTCTGCTTGTGAGCATCCTCCATGGCTTTGGAAGTTCTCCGATCTACTATCAATGGCTTCTTGTGTCTTCGGAATCCTGAGCTGCCAAGAGTTTATCTTCACAGGCCTACTCTGGCTTTCTTCCTCCTTTGTTTCCTTTTCTTCCTTTGGGCTCCAGTGTTTTTGGCTGAAGTCACACCTTGTAGGTTTGGTCTCCTCATTCTCATAATTACTGGCGGGTCCATGACCATTTTTGTTCCCTATCATCTTCAGAGGCAGAAGAAATGGAAGTGATCTCATTGCTGTACCAGTCTTGTCTTCTATCTTAAGTTGAGAGAGCCAGGCTCCTCTCTATTAATTCCCCTTTCCTTTTAGTTTTTTTCTTTTTAATCAACATTATTCACATACCATGAAATACACCATTTTATAGTGTATAGTTCAGTGTTTTTTAGTATATTCCCAAGGTTATGCAACCATCTCCACTATCTCATTCTAGAACATTTTCATCACCACAAAAAGAAACGCTGAACCCATTAGCAATAACTTCCCCTCCCATCATTTTCATCCCATAATAACCACTGATCTGCCTTCTGTGTGTATGAATTTGCCTATTCCGGACTTTTTTTAATAAATGGAATCATTCATCACATGGCCTTTAGTGTCTGGATTCTCTCCCAGAGCATCATGTTTTCAGAGTTCACCCATGCTGCAGCACGTATCAGTACTTCATTTCTTTTTATGGCTGAATAATATTTCATTGCATGGATATACCACATTTTGCTTATCCATTCATTAGTTGATGGACATTTGGGTTGTTTCCACTTTTTTGCTATTGTGAATAGCACTACTATGAACATTCTTGTACAAATTTTTGTTTGAACACCAGTTTTCAACCCTTTTGGGTATATTCCTAAGACTGGAATTGCTGGGTCATATGTTTACTATATCTTTAGCATTTTGAGGAAACTGCCAAAATGTTTTACACTGTAGCTGCACCATATTACATTCCCATCAACTTAGCAGGAGGGTTCCAATTTCTCCACATCCTCATCAACATTTGTTATTGTCTATTATTATTATTAATCCCATCCTAATAAGTGTGTAGTGGTATCTCTTTTAGTTTTGACTTGCATTTCATAACTAATGACATTGAGCATATTTTCATATGCTTATTGTCTATTTGCATATTTTCTTTGGAGAAATGTCTATTCAAATTTTTTGCCTACTTTTGAATTGGGTTATTTATATTTTTATTGTTGAGTTGTAATACTTTTTTATATATTCTGGATACTAGACTCCTACTCTCTCTCTATATGTATATATATATGTGGGTTTTCTTTTCACTTTCATAGTAGTGTCTTTTGAAGTAAGAATTTTTTAATTTTGATGAATTGGAACTTTTTCTTTTGTTGCTTGTGTTTTAGGGGTCATATCTAAGAAATTACTGCCTAATCCAAGATTATGAAGATTTACACCTATGTTTTCTTCTAAGAGTTTTATAGTTTTAGCTCTCATATTTAGGTACTTGATCCATTTTGAGTTGATTTTGGTATATGGTGTCCAAATTCATATTTGGCATGTGAATATCCAATTTTCCTAACACCATTCATTGAAAACACTCTTTTTTCCCCCATTAATTGTCTTGATACTAATTCCTCTGTCTTTATTTTTTAATCATGCTCTCTTGAAATCAGGTTTTAAGTCTACAGGTACAGAGGATTCTTTTCTGTTTTTATATGAGCAAAACATTTATCTTAAAACCATGATGAAATTTTAACCTCCCTATAAAGGATCCTGGAAATTCAAAATTATAGAACAATCAATATCTAAGATAAAATCATACAAAAAAATAGATGAGAGAAGATAAAGAAAATACAAACACTACTTGAGAAAATTTTTTCCAGATTCTCATTTACTTCTATATTTCCATGGATACCAGTGTCATTTTTGTTTTATGATAAATAAATTTCAAGTTAAGCTCCCAAATTAAAAAAAAAAAACTATAGAAATTTGTTATGTCATCATTTCATTTATGTTAAAAAGCCATTTAAGAAAGTCAGCAACGACAAGTATATTAAAACTGGAAAATCACCAGAGCCTCTTAAAAACTGACCACATAATTGCATTTTAAGATGTTTCATGGATTTTTGAAGCTTGAATAAAACAATGACTTACAGTAAGTAAGGTGGAATATCTGAATTTCCTTGGCAGGAGGGGGTCAAAATGCTCAAAGAGGTGGATGTGCTAGAAACGACTTATTACATAATACTAGAGAACTCATGAGCTGACTAAATGCCCTGGAAGAACTTAGAGGACACTCCTTTCACTAAAGCTTTAAGAAGTTTACTGGTTATGGGACACCCCAAAACCCCTGACAAGCTTTACATCAACGGTCTTCTGTCAGCTAGGATGGAAGGCAGGGGAGGCTGCCTGGAAGTGGGCTGACTATTGTCAGCAGGTATGATAGGATCCCAGAATATCAGAGACAAGGTGAGAGCACTGAAACATCAGGGGCCAGGTATGATTAAAGGTAGGAACGATGAGAATCCAGACACAAATCGAGATGGGGAGATTATCCCAGATTATGAGGGTGGGCCAAATGTGATCACGAGTCCTTCAAAGGGGAGAACATTTCCTGGCTGCAGTAGGTCAGAGAGGTGAGAGAAAAAGCAGTAGAGATTCCAAGTATGAGAAGGACTCAACTTACCCTTACAGGGTTTGAAGATGGAAGAAAGGAGCTACAAGCCAAGGGATGTGGGTGGCCTCTAGAAGCTGAGAACAGCCCTCAGCTGACAGCTAGAAAGGAAATTGGGATCTCCACCCTACAACTGCAAGGAACTGAATTCTGCCAACGACCAAAATGAGCAAGGAAATGGATCCTTCCCTAGAGCATCCAAAAATGAACACAGTCCAGCTGACATCTTGATTTTAGTCTGATGAGACTTCTGACCTACAGAACTATAAGATAAATTTGTGTTCTTTAAGCTGCTAAGTTTGTGGTAATTTGTTATGGCAGAAGTAGAAAATAAACACACTCATATTCAATACTCTGTTTAACCAGAGGTCTCATTTCTGTTTTGAAATTTCCAAACTTAACTCGATGTTTCTGTTTTTATCCTACTCCACTCCTTCAGTATTCTCCTCCCCACCAACTGATCAGATGTTTAAACATTTTTCAGCAGATAAAACTACTCTTACATTACTTAACTTTATTCCCAATTCTGAGCTTTATGGTATAAACTCCATACCCCTGATAATCAAAACCATGGCTTCATAATTACAAAGACATTTTTTTTTTCCTCTCGAGTACCAGTAATAGTTTTCGAAACTATTTCGGTTCTCAAATCCATGAACATGATTTTTTACTCATATTTGTTTATTTTGTGATCCCTTTTCCCTGGGGAAATAAAGTTCAGGTCATTTCCCAGTATGAAGGGTGGAAGGACTTGACAGAAAAACAATAACTGGGCAACGATGCGGTCACAGGCAAAGTCTGGCTTTGAACTGATTCAAAGCTCTTGAGAGGATATCGTACCACAGCGTGGTATTGCCTTGAGGTCTTGTATTAGGTAGTCATCCACTGCCCCAGAGGCTGGCATAGCCAGCTGAGTTGATTCCTGTCACCCAAGAGCAATTCTTGGATGTCCTTTCACCTCTTTGTGCCAAATACTCTTCTGCTAACATTGGTAAAGCAACATCTTCCCTCCCATCCACCTCCCATGACCCAGGCTTGGCAGATGAAGGTGTGAAAGAAGTAGGGCATCATAAAGGGATACCCAAGAGAAAATTCCTTCCCTTCCCTGGGCCTTCCTCTAGAGTTGCTTAACTTTTACTCTCCTTTGCATTTTTCCTTTAGGGAAGGAATAACCATCTTAACTCTAAAGAGCTCTATATGAGTTGAATAGTGTCCTCTAAAAATTCATGTCAACCCTGAGCCTCAGAATGTTACCTTATTTGGAAATAGTGCCTTTGCAGTGTAATTAGTCAAGAATCTCAAGACAAAATGCTTTGAATTTAAGGCTTGCCCTAAATCCAATGACTGGTGTATTTATAAGAAAAGGAGAGAGAGATTTGAACACAGATACACAAAGCAGAAGGCCATGTGAAGACAGAGGCAGAGATCAGAGTGATGCACAAACAAGGCAAGGAATGCTGAGGAATGCCAAGAGCCACCAAAAGCTGAAAGAAGCAAGGGAGGATTCTTCCTTAGAGCCTTCAGAGGGAGCATAACCCTGCTGACACCTTGGTTTTGCACTTCCAGCCTCTATAACTGTGAGGGGATAAAAATCTGTTATTTTAAGCCACCAGGTTAGTGGAAATTTGTTTCAACAGCCGTGGGAAACTAAGACAAACTCCAAGTCCTCCCTATCCTTTAAAGCCCCACTCCTGAAGGGTGATTTCCTGAGCCCCTGGCCTCCTTATTCCTTACTCTGAGGTCTAAGGCTCTAACCAGGTGGTCTGTTACCCCCTAGGACCTTGCCCTGCCTTCCTCATGCTGTATCACATTCCTGAGTTTACACATTCCTAAGACAAAATTTCCCAGTCTCCTTTGCTAATCCAAAACCAAAAACCAAACCCGTTGCCACTGAGTCGATTCTGAGGGATCAAATGACTGCATTATGGCCAAGGGATTGTGGATAGAAATGATGAACTCCACTTCTAAGCCTGACTCTTCAAAACCTTCTGTATGAGCCTCCACACTACCTTTCCTGCCCATCTCCTGGTTGGGTGTAGAAGGTCCAGCAAAAGAGTCTGAGGTCCTGGGAGGCGGCAGAACCACAGATGGAAGCAGCCAGGGTCCTTGAATCGTGGCATGGATGGCTGCCAACTGAGCACCCTCACTGGAATGTATTGTGAATGAGAATAAAGTCTTACTGGGTTAACCCAGGAACCCTGGTGGCGCAGTGGTTAAGTGTTCATCTGCTAACCAAAGGGTCGGCAGTTTGAATCCAGTAGCTGCTCCTTGGAAACCCTCTGAGACAGTTCTACTCTGTCCTATAAGGTTATTATGAGTCGGAATTGAATTGATGGCAGTGGGTTTCAGGTTTGGTTTGGGTTAACCTATGAGATTTCTTATTAATTTCTCTATCTTTGCTGCAGCTGTGCGCCATTCCGGGTCATACATAAGTGCAACGGGAAGGCAGAGCTGGGTGCCTGAGCACATGATGGGATGAATGCAACCGTGGGGACTGTTGGGGATTGTAATGAGGGAAATGAAGCCACAGGGACTGAGTGAAGAAAATGCAGAGCCCTCAAGTTGGTGTATCAGTTTATTTGGTGAATACTTAAGCCGTCTCAGGGTTGAGAAGTTAGGAGAGAGCAGAGAGGCCCTAAGCCGGAGGAAGTGGGTATGCCAACAAGGAACCAGGCAGCACTCTTCCCGGGCCAGATAGTCGTCCTCCAGCCCACACCGGTGGTGTGTCAGCTAGAACCTAGGGTTTTAGCATTGATTTAAAAGGCTCTCTGGAAGAGAAAGATTAGGTGGTTAAAAGTTAGGGAACCCTTAGGGACATCCATGTCCAAACTTAATAACACCAAGTTGTTGTTTTGGGATGCTGTGGGGTCAGTCTCCGACTCACGACAACTCCATACACAACAGAATAAAACGCTGCCATCCCCATGATCCATTAGGATCGAATGGGTATGATCCAAAGGGTTTTCACTGGCTGAATTTCAAAAGTAGATCTCCAGGCCTTTATTCCCAGTCTGTCTTAATCTGGAGTTACACTGAAACATGTTCCGCATCACAGCAATACCCAAGTCTCCACTGACAGACAGGGTGAACTAGGCCCCAAACAATGACAGAAATTCTTTCTGTAACATCAGTGATTACCCACTTTGGGGCAGTTTCCTTCAAGATGTCTGTCGACTGAGAAGACAGGTGGAGACAATGTCTTCTTGGGCCTGGTTGAGACTAGAGGGCCAGTGGAGAGCCCCACCTAAGGAGACAGTAACTGCCACCTTGGACAAAAAAGGGATGCACTAACTAATGGGTGATGTAATGAGGGACTCAAAGGAAACTGAATGGGAGTGAAGAAAAGTTGAGGCCTCTTTAGGAGTGTCTTGGTTTATTCCGAGTGAGTGCAAACCTCTATTTGGAGACAGTAGGGCATGGCCTTTTGCTGCCTGTTTCTTTCACCAGATTTGGATGAGTGTAGTCTTTTGTTCAGGATCACAGCTTCTGCATAGTGGGTAAGGAGCAGTGAGGAAGCATGCCCAGGCCGCTCCCCACACCCACCCCAAGCAACTCACTCATTGTGCAAGCAGATGTTCCCACAGTAGGTCCAACAGCATGTGTGGTTATAAAATACACAGAAGTTATATTTAGAGCACTTTTTGTCACAAAACTCTAGTGGAGGCTGTACCCAGCACTGCTTGACTTCCAATGTTTTAGCTGGAATGGAGACGATAGACATTGGTAGGATCTGTCCAGCCACAACTCTTAGAAGAACCCTTCTCAAGCTCAGGAACCCCTTTTGGAACCTGAGCTGCAAGCCCCAAGCAAGGTATTTCTCTACCTTTCAAGAAAACCCCTTCCTGTACCTCCTCAAATTCCAGCCAGTATCTCTCCATAGAAAACCATTCTCACAGGACTTGCTTTTCTTCCTTCCACGTATCCTCACAGCATTGCAGGCCTCTAGGCCCTCTCTCAGCTCCCAAAAGATAGGACCTGGGACACCTTCAATATATATGACCTCACTCACCAAATCTACTCTCATATAACTGTAGCCTTCAGGGACTGCAATATTCTCTAGCTGCCATCTCCACATTCAATTTGTAGAATGTGAACTGAGCCAAAGGAGCATAGTACCCTACTTTTCTCCCTTTCTCTTTGACTCTGATGATACCACCTGAGGACTCAGCCTCTCCCCAGGTTTCATGACTTTCACTGGCCCCCAACCTTGTCAGTCCCTTCATTGTCCCCGTTTTCTTATGACCTCAGTCACTGATCCACTAAGGACCCCCTCGTTTGTCTTTTCCATTTTTTAGTGTTTTTAAAGATTCTTCTCCTCAAACTAAATGAATGCGTTCAGTATTACCATTTTGGTATTCATAAAAGGCACACCCAGCTAAGGCATAAGATTCTGGAAATATGGGCTGGAAGGGAAGCTCTGTGATGGTGTTTCCCTGCACAAACTGATCTGACATTGGAAAATATTATTTCCCACTGGCTGTGGAGTGTAAACAAAGCATATGTTCGCTTTTCATATACCCATTATTGCTTTCAGAGCTGGAAGAAGGAGCTTGGAAGGACCCCAGATTAGAAACATCCAATCCAATCTTGCTTGGATGTCTTTGGTTAAGGAGGGCTCTAAAGGATGATCCCAGAAATACGGGCCCTGAATCAGCTATGCCAGACATCCCAAGACGGCATCCCCCTCCCTTGCCGCATCACTTACAGGTATGTTTTGTCCTGATGCCTCCCAGTACAGGCAGAATCCTCACAGCCACATAGGCAAGCATGATAACTAGGAGAATATGGAGCTTCATGGTACTCTTTATATGTGTCTGGGTTAAGTTCTGGCAAAAGATGGGTCTTTTCCCAGTGCCACTAGAGGTAGAGAATGGGAGAAGGGAAAGAGAGTAGGAAAGAGAGAGGAAGTACTTGTGAATGCTGTTTTATTCCTTCTCCTACTTTTTCTCTCCTCTGTCACCTAACAAGGTATCCACTCACAACCTGAGCATGGCTTCTCTGATGCTTCTTCTCCATCTCAAATCACATACCCCTTCCTTCACAAAAATATTTCCTTAAAAAATGTTACTGTTTTTTCCTGATTAAAAAATATATATATATTCAGATTATACAATCTGTAAAACAGAAAAAAGTACAAAGAGGAAAATACTGTTAAACATTATTAATTCCACTACCCAGAGTTATCCAGTATATGTGAATACTTTTATGTTGTATTCATTATTTTTCTGAAATGAAATTATAGAGTGCATTAAATGTCCTGATTTTTATTTAAAAACATATGTAAGAAGATGATATAATGAAAGTTTTAATCAAGATCCTAAGACAAGGATACCAGAGGGATTCCAGAGTGAGTTATGAGATAGATCACTCAGCAAGACTTGGGAAAGAGTGATGGCCAAGAACTGGATCCAAAAACAAAAACAAACAAAAACCCTGTTGCCGTCAAGTCAAATCCAACTCATAGCAACCCTACAGGACAGAGTAGAACTTCCGCATAGGGTTTTCAAGGAGTGGCTGATAGATTCCAACTGCTGACCTTTTGGTTAGCAGCCAAGCTCTTAACCACTGCACAACCAGGGCTCCAAAAGAACTGGATACGGGACTCTTGAAACCTTCCTTCATATAGAGAGTCCAGAGTTGGAGGAAGTGAATAAAAAGTTTTGAATGGTATTTTACTGGTTAGAAGCTTTGCTCAGGGAAGCAGGGATGCTGCTTTGTATTTCTAGGTTGAGAGAAGGACTCTATGGATTCTACTCATCGAGCTTGCTCTGCATCCGCAGTTGTTTGTGGGGACAGAGTAGACCGATATTTCAGTCATGGCTGAAAACTGTGAAGGGTGGGGTCTGGCTAAAGTCACCTATGGCAGCAGAGCAGAGAAGAGGGCTGCAGTCTGGGAAATATCCAAAGTATAAGTGACCAGACACCTAAGGTTTACCCTCAGGGATGAGGGGACTGTCTCCAATGAAAACATGGAATTTCCCATGTAAGAGTCAGGACCAGAAGCACAAAGCCAGCTTGCAATGTATCTACTGTGTAAGAACTTTCCTACCCCCTTATGGGGGTATCCCTAGAAGGCAGAAACTTTTGTTGGCCATATGGGGGCAGTAGAAAAGAAAGGCAAGGAGCCAGAGAGCGAGAAGATGCTGAGCACATCCTCTTCCCTAACTGGAGCTTCTGAGGGAGGGAACAGTCCACAGTTCTAAACAATTTATGGTGTTGTGGTTAATTACATGGACCTGCACATTTAATAATTAACTGAATAAAGTATACAGACAGGAGGAGACAAAAAAATCATATCATACAAGTCATGCCAACAATTCAAGGATAAATATTATGATCATCCCCCCATATGATGAGGAACTGGATATTTCCAATTTCTTCTTGCTATAAAAATGTCCTGATGTACTTCCTTATAGCTAACACTTTGACACATACTATTATTTTCTAGCATGAATTAATAGGGAAATAATTGCTGGACAAAATGTGCTGCCTATTTCAGGCTTTGGATAATGGCTGCCACAATTTACTTCCTAAGGATTGGTTGATATTTTCACCAACAGGACATCAGATGGAGTTTCCCCAGCCCAAGTCTTGCCCTAGACAATACAAAAGAAAATTCTTTTCCATTTGTCACCACATTGTTGAATGTTTGGTATTTTACAGAGAAAAGAACACAGGCAGAGTCAGATAAACTTGAGCTAGAATCCCATCTCCACTTTTCACTGTAGGACCTGATATAAATCCCAGAGCTTCAATTTTCTCATCTGTATCATAGAAATAATTCAATATTCATGTCATTGGGTTACTACAAGGGTTAAGTAGTCTAATATATATGAAACACTAAGCATAGACCCTGAAACATAGTAAAGAGTCAATAAATGTTAGCTATTAATATTAAGCTCCAATTTTCTTTCCTAGTCCAGATGGTTGAAAATTATTTTCATTTAAATTTGTTTTCATTTTTCTTTTATACTTAACATTTTAATCTGTCTAGAGTTTATGCCTGTGTGTGCCTGTGTGTGTGGAGGGGAAGTTCACTCATTCATTCATTCAACAAACATTTATTAAGTATCTACTACATTCCAAGTTCTAGGTACTGGAATATAATGGTGAACAAAATAGACAAAAATCCTCACATTCATAGAGCTGGCATTCTAGTTAAAGAGAAAGGAAATAAATAAGATAAATAAAGAAATACACATTGTTATTGTTGTTGCTGTGGTTAGCTGCCTTCGAGTAGGCCCTGACTCATGGCAACCCCATGCACAATGCAACAAAACTCTGTCCAGTTCTATGCCATCTCCAGGGTGGAGATAAGACCATTGTGATCCAAAGCATTTTCAGTGGCTGATTTTCAGAAGTAGATAGCCAGGTCTTTGTTCCTAGTCCATCTTAGTTTGGAAGCTCTGCTGAAACCAGTTCAGCATCATAACAACAACAAACCTCCACTGACAGATGGCTGTGCATGAGATGCATTGGCTAGGAATCAAACCTGCATCTCCTGCATAAAAGGGGAGAATTCTTCCACGGAACAACCCTTGCCGCCAAGGAAATACATAGACAGTAGTAAGTGTTAGAAGATTCCTGGGTGGCATAAAAGGTTTGTGTTCAGCTGCTAATCGAAAGGTTGGCAGTTTGAATCCACCCAATGGCACTCCAGAAGAAAGGCCTGGCAATCAATTTCTGTGAGAGTACAACCACTGAAAACTCTGTGAGCATCCATGAGCAACTGCGCCCTTTGCCATTATAGCATAACTGGATGGTGCCCAGCTACCATTACTGAACACTTTGATCAAAGATCCTATAGAAGAATACTGATCAAAAGGGGGAAAAATGCAGAACAGGATTTCAAATTCTCATGGAATCCAGACTATCTGGAGCCATGGAGGCTGGATGAACCCCTGAAACTATTGCCCTGAGATAATCTTTAAACCATACACAAAAATATCCCCTAAAGTCTTCTTAAATCCAAACAATAATTTAGCTTAATTTGTAAAAAATATCTGCCTTGAGCATTGTGCTCATTTAAGATCTATTTATATGGGATTAAATTGACAAAAGCAACCCAAAAGATTAGATAAGAAACTTAGGGGGCAGTGAATTTATATTAATGGGGAAGGAACAACTTGGAAAAGGAAGGTGAGAATGATTGCACAACTCGAAGAATGTAATTGAGGTCACTGAATTGTACATGTAGAAATTGTTGAGAAAAATAAAAGAATGTAAGCCCCATAACATTGCTAAAAAAGAAAGAAAGAAAATCCTATGGATCACAGTTCTGGTCTGAAACAAACGGAGTCACCATAAATTGGAATCAACTTGATGGCAACGGTACAGTAGTAAGTGTTAAGGAGGGAAAAAAAAAAAACGGAGCAGAAGATAGAATAGCCTTCTGATGTTTAGTAGCTGACTGGTTGGGGAAAGTAGGTGCATGGGAGAAGGAGTCTTAATTACTATTCAAATTTCCCAGCCCTTTCCCATCTCCCTCCTTCATCCTTTTATCTGCTGCTTTACCCTCCTGAAACCAAACAGGAAGGAAAATAAAAGAGTCAAAGCAAAGGGTAAAAATTTGATGTAGTGAATTACACAGTATTGAGGCAGTGATTGACCCTTGCCCTGGAAATCTTTACTATTTGTTTAGAAGTTTTCAAGCAAGCAGAAAAGACTCTTGTGTGATGTCCAACAGTCACTAGGCACATGTAAATATTTAAATTAAGTAACTAAAAATCCAGTTCTCAGTCACGCTAGCCACATTCCAGGCATGCAATAGCCACATGTTGCTAGTGGCTGCATTTTCAATGCAGATATAGAACATTTCCATCTTTGTAGAAAGTTCTATCTAGTGCTGCTCTAGATGAATTGACCAAAATTCCCCTGCTCAAAAACAGGCATAGCACTTCTTGCTGTTATGTGCCGTCGAGTCGATTTTGACTCATAGTGACCTTATAGGACAGAGTAGAACTGCCCCATAGGGTTTCAAAGGAGCACCTGGTGGATTCGAACTGCCAACCTTTTGGTTAGCAGCCATAGCTTTTAACCACTACACCACCAGGGCATAGCACTAGAGATCATTGAAGTGATACTGAATTATTCAAAGGAGGCTAAACTATTTCTCCTCTTGGTTCATGTGAAATTTGGAAGTTGGAAAAATAAAAGTTTTTGGCACGTGAATCATTAGATGCATTGACTATTAGGCAAAAGGGTTTCAGGAGATTTGAGGAGAGCCACTAGCAAGAGCAGGAGATTAGGGAGACAAAGAGGAAGAGAGGAGCTCCTATATTTTGAAAGATCAGGTGTTTGGTGGCTTCCACTCTTAGAAGCTTATATCTGCTCTCCAACCTTCTCCTTTCAGAACCCTGTCCCTGCCCACTTGCCTCAGTATGGCTTTATGAAGGAAAATTCCCAAGTTAAGATTTTGAGACTTCATTTACCATTGGATGATATTTACATGAAGGATACAGCTTAAATGGTGAGGCTTCAGGCCAGGGGAGAATTGTCTTTGAGCATGGTAAACCCAAAAAACCAAACCCGTTGTCACTGAGTCCATTCTGACTCATGGTAACCCTGTGTCATGTACATGTACACAATAGAACTACTCCATAGGGTTTTCTTGGCTGTAATCTTTATGGAAGAAGATCACCAGGTCTTTCTTCCTTAGTGCTGCTGGGTAGCTTTGAACTGCCAACCTTTAGGTTAGTAGTCAAGTGCAAACTGTTTGTGCCACATGGGTGGGCTCTCAGAAATCCTGCAAATCACTCATATTCTGCCCACAGGAAAGCCAGCTAGCAGTGGCAGGAAACCCAGTTCTTGAGTATGAGGCTCAGGGCACTCACTCTTCTGAT